TCCCTCTGTCAATCCTCAGCTTGATCTCTATCATTAAGAGTCTCTGGTGGTTTGTTTCCCTTTCTTCTCCTCTCGGCCCCTTTCCATATGTTCATCTGTTTTGTTTCTTAAATTCCACATATGAGTGAGATTTTTAAAGTTGTATTTTCCGGGGCACCTGGGTGGCTCAGTCGGTTGAGCGTCTGACTTCGGTTCAGGTCATGATCTCGCAGTTCGTGGGTTCGAGCCCCGTGTCGGGCTCTGTGTTGACAGCTCAGAGCCTGGAGCCTGTTTCAGATTCTATGTCTCCCTCTCTCTCTACCCCTCCCCTGCTCGCACTCTCTCAAAAATAAACATTAAAAAAATTTTTTTAAATTATATTCCCCCTACTTTTACTAGCTATCATTTTACTGTGAAGGCTTTCCATCAACTGGGTGTCACTATAGTTCTTCCTCAAAATCGGTTGGTATAATGGTAACCTCCAATATGTGTGGGTTTATCTTGAGAGAGAGAGAGAAAGAGAGTGCAAGCTGGGGTGAGGGGTAGAGAGAGGAGAAAGAAAGAATCCCAAGCAAGCTCCACACCATCAGCGTGTAGCCTGATGTGGGGCTTGAACTCATAAACCACGAGATCATGACCTAAACCAAAACCAAGAGTTGGACGCTGAACAGACTGAGCCATCCAGGCATGTGTTTTTTTTTTTTTTTTTTTAAATGACATATTTATTCAGTGTTTTTCACAATTCCTCTTCATTTTATTCAGAGTGCCCCCAAACTGTCCAATGGGACACCTTCCATCTGACTCCAATGTCCTATTGAGATATACCCATTAGTCTTAAAGTACTTTCTTGCTTTCAGACCAAAAAGATACTTTTCACTAATTTTTTAACTTACCTAGCTGTAGATCCAGCCTTTTCTCCACGGAACATGCTGGATAAAGGGTGAGTGACGCTTGTTCCCACTCCCCAACTGGCCAAGATGCGGCTGTCAGCCAGCAAGCCATCAAATGCGCCATCATGTCCTGGTCCAATGCCCCATGCATGCATACCCAGCTGTGACCGTTCCTGAGGGGCTACAGTGGTCACAGAGTGGCAGCGGTAAGACCAAGATCTCATCCAGGAGGGTGGTGGGAGGCAGGACTATGCATGAACCGAGGCTCTAAGCCGCACTGTGCATGCTCCATTGTCCCCTCAGACTTCACTCAAAAACATGAATCCAAAGACAGCATTATTAAGAATATCCAAGATGGCAGAGACAGAACATTAAAGCCCAAGCGCAGGGAACTTCTGAGCACAGGTCCGAGTATGTCTTCTGTTTCTCAATTTTGTATTTTTTCCCATATAAATCCTAAAAGCTCTTGCTGTTTGATTTATAGGTTTCTATAGTGAACACAATTTTCCCATCGTATTTGCTAACTGGACAGTTATGAGGTATAGAAGTATCATTTTGTACTGTTGCTTTTGATGGCTACTTCTCATGTCATCGCACCATTTTAGTGAAATGTAATGTTTCCATATCAGTTCTCTTGGGCTTTCTAAGTAGAAAAAAGCACCTATACATAGCTATCACTTGAGCACTTAGCACTGCTAGGTACTGTTGTATGTCATCTAATCCCCAGAAGCCCTTGAAGCTGGTGTGATCGTCACATCTGATTCACAGATTGGGTATGTGAAAGAGCAGAGACTTGCCCAAGGCCAAAGAACTAATATCTACGTGTTAGCCAAAATTTCAAAGCCAGCCGCAAGCCTCAACCACGAGGCTAGAACATTTTCTACATAGGTTAGGTTAAGCCCCCTTCATTTCTGTTTGAAGACTGAGTACCTGGGGTAAAACTTTCAGAAAAGCGCTAATGGCAGTGACAGCAAACATCTTTCTCTTGTTCTTGATTTTAACTGGAATGTCTCCAATGCTTCATTTTTAAGTGTGATACTGACGGTTGTGGCTTAAAACGGAAACCTTTGCAACATGAGGATATTAGTAATGTAGCTTTTCCTAAAATAAAGAACTAAAACTCAATCTAGCTGAAACAGGGATGGATCATGAGACCCTGTTAATATGGGTTTCCGTTCCAAAGGTTTATTCCAATCACGTTTATAGTACATAAAATAGCGATACTCTCTTGTTGAGAAGACAGAAAATGTGGCCACAGTGTTGATGCCAACTTAAGAGAAATATAAGCCTCTACCTAAGGCAAGATTTCCTATCTACAGAATTCAACTAATATGAGACACGTACAAAGAAATCAATTCAACAGCTTCCCTTAAAGATATGCAAGAAATCAAAAGAAGACAGTTTTTGTGGGAGGCTGATATGCACATTTTATTTAACAAACATAATGTACAAGACTAAAAGAACTGTATATATTCCCAGGAGAATTCAGAGTGTGTATACCTGGATTAGCACCTAGAAAGTACATAGAAAAGAACAACGGAAAAGGGGGAAAGCTTTCTACAAAAATCACTTGGGCTCGGGTTTCTAAGTGCAGATTCTCACTGGCATCGGATATTAACTCCTCGCACTCCACATGAGCTCAGTGATCGGCTGACTCGGTTAACTGCTTCACGCCTTTAGCGCTTCATGACAACAGGTATGTCAACCTCATGGCTCTTACGGGGAAATTTAAGTAAAGGATACAAAGTTTTATACTCACCCTAGTTTTATTCCAAAATTACTGCACTACAAATCTGTGTGGTACACTGTTAGGAAGATACTGAGATACTGCTTGTGTCATGTGACCTTGTTTCAGAACGATGCCCTGGAATTATGCACAATTTCACAGCTACGCTGATAATCTATAGAAATCACTGACTGGAAGGAGGATCATACGTGGCGTATTTAGGTTATGAAGGGTTCTGTTAGGATTAAAACGGTTCCACGCTGCCAGTGGCTGTAAAGCCTCCGTATCAGTTGACCGCACTGTGCATTTAATACAATATTCTTTGGTTACATCATATTAACCACAAGGAGGACAGCTTCCTTGTCTACACAATAGATTAGTGGTTCTCAACTGAGGGCGAATTTGCGCCCACTCCACCCTGGAAACATTTGGCGATGTCTGGAGGAGATTTTTCACGACTGTGAGGGTTGCCACTAGTGTCTAGTGGGTATCGAGGCCAGGAATACTGCTAAACGTCCTGTAATGCACAGGGAAGCCCTCATAACAAAAAGTCCTCAGGCCCCAAATGTCAGTAGCACTGAGGTGGAGAAACCCTGAAAGAGGTTTATATGACATGCGTCTGGGTTGCCCATAGAGTCAAAGGTCTGCTGCAGACGGAGGCAGAAAGAAGGGTGCTACAGCTTTGAGGAGTTCCCCATCGGCTCTCGCCAGTGGAGGCCCGTTCACTCCTGTCTTCTGATCTAGACCCAGGACCAGCTCCTTTACGAAGACCTCTATAAATACCTCCTGAATGAGTGGAGGACGACGGTGCAAGAGGCATGGTTCAAAGTCTTCAAATGACTATCTTGAACAGTAACTTTATACGACCTAAAAATTATTCTGAACCTCAATGGTGTCACAGTCCCTGACTGATTATACAGAACCTCAAAGTTAGGCTAACATATTGTTAAAGGTGGAGTCAATATTTTAAGGGCAGTATGTCTAACGTTTCTAGATTCATTTAAGTGGGGCAAACCAAATAAAATGGTGTTAAAGGCAAACATTCAATATACTTCATTTTAAACTAAAAAAATTAACGCATGAAACGCCATGCACAGCAGACACCATTCCTTTTTTTTTTTTACATATTTACAATTTTACATATTTACTTATCAATATATCTTCTATCTTTACAATTATAAAATTATTTCAAACTGTAGAAGAGTGGTACCATACATTTTGTAGCATTCATTTGTTTTATCCTTTAAAGGCAATTATTTACCCAAATCCAAACCACAGTGAATGCCACAGAGGAAGCACGTAGGAAAATCATGGACAAAAAATAGATTTAGACAAAACTTTCACATAAGACTTAAATGAATCTATTTCAGTAACTCAAATAAATAGTATTTTATTATTTACTAAGCTTCCCCTGCCAGGAAAAACAAAACAAAACAAACAGAACAATCCCCACAAACTGTACCTTTAAAAACGCTCTGGCATTTATAAGCATTAAGTTATAGTCTAGATCCCAATCATGGACTGTAGTAAGGGCTAGCTACAATTTAGGCTCAAATAAATACTACCCATGTAAATATTTATCATCCTGCATAAACTTGAGGTTGCAATGGTGGAGGAAGTTTATCATTTTCAACATTTTCAGAGTCAATAGCTGCTAAAGATTGATTGGGGGGCTTAATTTCGAGTGGATATTTCTCAACAATGTCTTGAACCTCTTTTGCAATTCCATCTGTCCACTCTATGAGGTCTTTTTCAAGTTTCTTGGCTTCACTCATGATCCTTTCTTGTCGTTCATTCAACTGAGACAGAAGATCCAAGTTCTTATACATTTGCTTAACCCCCAAGCAAGCATCAGGAGACCAATTCTCAGATTCTTGCTTCCTGGGAGAAGTCTGGCCGGACATGTATCGATCAAAATCTTCCTGACTTAAATTCAAAGACTGAGCATCTAACTTCTCAATGAAAGCCACAGCACAGCACTAGAAAAAACCAGAAGGTTATTTACTATAGCCATAAGGGGAAAGGTACAAATATTCAAATACATCTTTTTAAATCCTTTTATTATGGTGAATTTAAAACAATCAAAAGTAGGATGGGGCGCCTGGGTGGCCTGGTCGGTTAAGCGTCCGACTTCGGCTCAGGTCATGATCTCACGGCCCGTGAGTTCGAGCCCCGCATCGGGCTCTGTGCTGACCGCTCAGAGCCTGGAGCCTGTTTCAGAGTCTGTGTCTCCCTCTCTCTCTGCCCCTCCCCTGTTCATGCTCTGTCTCTCTCTG